CCAAACCATATCTCCTGATTCTTAATCCAATTCTGTCCCGGCTTTTCATCAGTGGCTTTTAAATCTTTGACTTCAACCCATGAGAAATATTTTACATCAAGACACAGCATGCCCACAAGCACAAACATTTCACAGAACAATATTTATCCTTATGCAATGCACTGATAATTTTCTATTATCTTTTTAAATGTTCTCCAACTTACCATGTCTAAAATGGAACTACTGATCCTCCCCTACCCCAACCCTGTTCCATTTGCAAACTTGCCCAACTCAGTTAACAGCAATTCTCTCCTTCCAGGTGCCCAAATTTAAAAATCTTGGAGTTATTCTTAACTCTTCTTCACACTCTACATCCAACACATCACAACTTGCTGTGAACCACTGTTATGTCCTCTACTATTTCCAACCTGCTCTGAATGACCATTATCTCTCATTTTGATTACTTCAATAGCCAAATCATCTCCCTCCTTCTGCCCTTGCCCCATGTATAGTCTCTTCTAAACATGGGGACCAGAGTTAGCCTTTAAAACTCCTGCATTGACTCCTCCTATTTCAGAATAAGCCAAAGTCCTTTCACAGCCTAACAAGGCTCTACTACTCTGGCTAAGCTTGCCTCATTACTGTGCTCCTACCCTAGGGTCTTTTCACTGCCTGTTCCCTCTGAAGAGTTAACTGTCCCCCCTCCAGGTCTCTACTCCAATGTTACCTTCTCAGTCAAACCCATCACCACCCTCTATTTAGAACTACAGTGCACTCCCACTATTCCCCTTCATCCTGCTCCACTCTGTCTCCATAGTGCTGAACATCTTCTAATTAATGATATAATTTACTTAGTATGACAATTCAATCCCCTTTTTTCAGATAATTGTGGATATTCTTCGATATTATATTGAAACTGGACCAGTGGTAGATTCTTAAAGTCTAGCTGCAATATGGAATCTGAATTATACCAATAAACTTTTCATATTGTTACATTAAAATCCACTGGTCTATCTTACATTCTGAATCTTTTACCCATGCATGACTCTATAACACCATGCATTGGTCATCTGAAAAATACTGGTTCAATGGGTTATCCAAGTCTTCCTAATGCTGATACATTTTATTATACAGTATTAAAAAAATTCCTGGGCCGGCCCCGTGGCTTAGCAGTTGAGTGTGCGTGCTCCGCTGCTGGCAGCCCGGGGTTCAGATCCCGGGCGCGCACCGACGCACCACTTCTCTGGCCATGCTGAGGCCGCGTCCCACATACAGCAACTAGATGGATGTGCAACTATGACATACAACTATCTACTGGGGCTTTGGGGAAAAAAAGGAGGAGGATTAGCAATAGATGTTAGCTCAGAGCCGGTCTTCCTCAGCAAAAAGAGGAGGATTTGCACAGATGTTAGCTCAGGGCTGATCTTCCTCACAAAAAAAAAAAAAAAAATTCCTGTCCATCCAAGATTCAAAAATTCTAACTTTTGCTAGAAAACCTGAATTTTATCATACGGCAACAAATGCTATCAGTGGTGTTCCTTGAAGCAACAGTCTCTCTTCCTCCATTTTTTGAGGTCAAATCCGCCACATATTCAAGTCTGAATCGTCACAGCCTATCAATCATTCTTTCAGGAATGGTTCTCATGAAAAAAAGAGGCTAGTTCAGCTGGAGACTGAAACAATTGCAAAACCACTTTGGTATGAAGAAGTATACTATTTCCCATTTTGTCACATAGAATATGAAATAAAGATGTGTACTCAAGGGTCAAGATTTAATAACATTAATAATTTTTACTGCTTTAAGAACATTTTTAAATTGCAAGTGCCAGTGACAACTAACTAGTACAGTCTGGTGACAATGCCTTGATGCATGCTAAAGCATTAGCAGTTTTACCCATCATTGCTTTTGTACCACCAGTACAGATGTCAACACAGTGAAGAGGCAAATAATGTTTTAATATTTTTATGAAAATGGCTTTAACCTCTTGGACCACTGAAAGGGTCTTGGGAACTCCCAGGGGTCCCTGACACACACTGTTGTACTACAATAATCCAGCTACAGGAAAACAGTTTCCTTGAGAATATTCTACTTATTCTATCAGGATAAGCAACTTCCTTTAGTCTTGCAATCTATTAGTAAGAACGAAAGAATGCATTTTTACAAAAAGAAGGAAAAGAAAAGGTAGTGAAAACTACAGAAATAAGCCTAATAAAAAATACAGAGTAAACTAAAAATAAATCACATTAATTATACTTTTAAGTATTCTACTTCTGCCCTGATCTTGTGAGGAAGCAGAAGTATTTTAACAAATATCATTATAGCAAAATTTCTGCAGTATCAACATATCTGACACCCAAATGGGAGTTTCTTACTGAATTAATAAATGAATAATAGTGTAATAAATGAATGAACTAATTAATTCCATGATATCAAAATAAAGTTTCTGAGATAATCTGAGATACTACTAGCTACATGTATTAAGCTCTCACTGTCATAGGAGCCACAGAGAAAAAAATTTATCCACTTGCAGGTTTATTCCTCCCATTTGAGACAGTCTCTCTCTCAAACAGAAAAGAAAAAACAAACTCCCTCTTGGTGGATGTATGCAGCTGACACAATAACTAGACAATGCATAGTTCTATTAAAGAATTTAAAAGTATATTTCATATTGCTTATATCTTAATATACACACATCTAGTGTTATTAAAAGTACAACTAAAATTAAACCTTATTTACATCCTTTTTGCAGGCTGCCATGAGTTGCCTCCATGACTCAATTAACCTAACCAATGACCTTATAAACTCTGAATATTAACTCTGGCAAAAACATAATGGGACCAAAGGGTGTCTTAAAGAAAGCACGAGTTATGCATGTGAGTATGTCACCCAGACCCAAGGTCCAGTAGCTATATTATTAAAATGTTCCTGATTTAATAATATAGCTACTCAGCTATTAGAAATCTGAGACCCTGATAAACATAAACTTGAATAAATACAATTATAATCATCAGGAAAAAAAAATCCAAAGGCTCCATATTCAGATAATTTTTTGCCTAAGATTAAACGTCACTGTGAAAGGTTACCTGGTTCTTTTAAAATACAATGAGTTTTCATAACCTAACCCGAAAAATACCTGTGTGAAGTAGCTCAAGGCACAAGAGCTAATAAACAGATTTCTCTCCTTTTCTCTACCCCATTTATTAAAGTAAAAACAGATTTCCTAACTTCTAATTGACATAATTCTATCAGGATAAAAAAATTAATGAAATCTAGTTTTTTATGAAGAATGTCCTAAAAATGATCGCCTAAGCAACTCTGAGATACAAAAAATTAGATATCTTCAATTTAGAACAATGTTACCAACACAACCTGCTTTGCATTTCCACAATGCTTAGTATACAGACTTCCAGAATACTCTACAGAATTGATTTTTATATAATATAGAGCTGGAAGAATCTTTAGAGATTATTTACCTCTCATTTTACGTGTATGAGAAACTGCTTGACCTTGGGTAAGTCAATTTTTTGCACCTCAGTATGTTTCCATAGTTTAAAAGGACTGAACCAGATGATTTCTATCACCCTTCCTAGTTCTAATGTTCTCTAAGATGTCAGGTTTTACTGAAATGACTTACGTAACCACATATAAATGTAAAATCAAGACAAGATGCAAAGGAAGGAAAGTTACACAGCTGAGCATCTATCTTGTGTCAAGCTCTACATACCAGTACCTCATTTAATACTCTAAAGAACCTGCACAGGCTAGGTTCTTTGGGGGGGGGGGGGCACGAGGGACCTAAATCTATTTGTGTTTAGATGCTGCAAAAACTTTCCATTCTTGTTCTTAAAGAAAAAGCTAACCAGAAGGGCCTTTACATGTATTAATAGTAACAGTGACAGATGAGTCTAATCTGAACTGGGAAGGCCCTACTTTTAACAATACTTGATACTGTATATGAATCTTGGATGCAGAATAATAGAAATGTCAGGACCTAAAGGGCCTTAGAGATCATCAGTACAACTTCCTCACTTTACAGATGACATAATTAAAATCAAAAGGTTTCTTCATTTTTCACTCAAATCAAAATAGTGGCCATAAGTACATGTTCAGTTTCTTAACTTTCAGGCGTTACCTTGTGACCAAATTATGTGAGGGAATCCAATTATCTGGGTAATAAGACATCTTTATAAGAACATCTATATGGCTAATGGTTTTTTAAAAATGACTTAATTTTCCAAGATTATTGGTAAACGAATCACAAATATGGAAAGTACATTTTGCCTAAACTGGGTCTCACGGATCAGAAGAACAATATTGCTTTTATGCCAGAACAGTGGCTGGCCCATAAGTGGTATACAATAAACGCTGAACGAATGTGCCGAACCAAGAAAAGTACAGCCATCGTTGGCAATAGTCTCCACATATCCAACTCAAACCAAGACACTATGAATAGACTGCGTATGTATCACTTTGATATTCTTTAAAGTGGTCCATTTAAAAACCAACTGTACGGCTTAGGGGATGTGACTTTATATGGTCATATAGGCAGAAAAGAGCCTCAGCACAATTCATCGTAGCCATTTTTGATAACTCTTTATATCCTACATATGAGAAGTAACTCAAAATCGCAATGGTTCTCCAAATAATTCAGAAGGAACAAATCTAAAATGGAGAATAAATGGCTCAACAGAGTATCTGTAGCACTCAGGTTGGCAATCAGGGAACTAAGGCTCTAGGCTTCGTCCTAATCTTACACAAAGAGTAACAACTGCCAAAGCATTTGACCTCTCCCTACCCCGGCGTTCTCCTTTAAGCAGACGAGAAGCAGCGGGTGTGTACGAGGGCCGGTTTTCAAGAATCCGACCCCAAAGGCACCGCCGCTCTGCACCACGTCTCCCGATCCGGAGAAGCTCGGGAAGGACATTTTCCAGGAGCTAGCAACCACCTACAGCCACCGCGGGCGAGACACCCACGCCTTCCCCGCCGGTGCCGGAAGCCCTCCGAGGACCCGC